TTCCCTCTTTCCTTAGTAGTAGTTTTTCACATATTCTCTAAAACTTAGTAACCTCTTGCATCCTAGTGGCTTTATTGCCTTGCATGGGTTGAAATGATTAAAGAAATATAAAATACCAACAACAAAATATGAATAACATGTGTAATTAAAACTAAAATAATGATGTAATCAAGCTGTTAACGTTCCACCCTTCCGGAAAAAAAAAACTTTTGAAAGGAAACGCTCATCAATATTAAAAAAGAACTATAACATTTAGCGGGTTTGAGGAGTCTAAAAACTATTTTCAGAAATTTCAACATTACCATTACTATAAGAGCTAATGTCAATTAAATAAACTAAAACACAGAATATTAATCAATATTGAGGACAAAATTTATCCTTGATATCGGTTAATAGATTAGCTTTAAATACTCTGATCCCCAGATTATTTTGACTTGATATCCAAAAGGGGAATCACTTGTACGGATACAAGAGAAGATTAATCACAATGCCTTATCAGTTTTCTTCAATGAAACCTGAATAAAAGAGGGATTACTTCGCAAATAGACACAACGCGAACACACACACAGACACACGGACACACGCTTTATATATATATATATATATATATATATATATATATATATATATATATATATATATGTCCCTTAAGAAAATCCTATTCTGAAAACACAAAAATTCTATGGAAATGAAATTATCGTCTACATCTCGCTGTGAGAGAGGCCCTCTAAATAAAACATCTAGATCCCACTATCAACCTCATCTTACTCAGCAGTGGTAATGGGGGGGTGAATAAAAAAAAGAAAGAAAGACGCCTACGATGCTCGGAACGAACTTCCCTACTATCAGGTAATCCCATAAGTTCTGTCCGAATTTCTGAACGAAATTTAAAGAGTATTTTATAATGTCTAATGGAGCTGAACATTTTTTCTCTGTTTAGATGCATTTAAACTGATCAAATTTTATTTTAGAGAACAATACATTTTGTTTGATTAAAACCCTGCTAACATGGAAGTACCCAAGAATCATTTGAGGTACATAATGCTTTATGAGTTCAAGAAAGGAAACTCAGCAGCCGAAGTGGCTAGAAACATTCACTCAGTTTATGAAGAGGAATGTGTGAATGAAAGAACTTGCAGAAGGTTTGCAAAATTCAGAGGTGGAGATTTCACCCTTGAAGATGAAGATCGAACCGGACGTCCAGTTGAGTTTGATGAAAAGCTTCTTGAAGCAGCCATTGAAGAAAATACTGCTTTATCAGTTGAGGAATTGGCAGTGGTTCTCGGTTCAAACCATACAACTGTTCATCGTCATCTTCAACAACTTGGAAAAGTTCCTAAACTTGGAAAATGGGTGCCACATGAATTGTCTGAAAACAACCTCAAATTCCGAGTTGACATCTGCTCTTCTATCCATTCTCGCCAACTTGTTTCACCTTTTTTAGATGGACTTGTGACTGGCGACGAAAAATGGATCTTTTATCGAAATGTTAAGCGTCGTAGACAGTGGCTTGGTAAAGGGAAGGACCCCAGCCACATCCGAGAAGGGAACATCATGGGCAAAAGGTTCTTCTTTCAATCTGGTGGAATCGCCAAGGAATAATCCACTTTGAATTCATACCACCTAATGCAACAATTAATGCTCAAATATACTGTCAGCATTTAGAGCGTTTGAACCAAGCTTTGAGGAAAAAAAGACCTGCTCTAGTGAATCGAAAAGAGGTGATGTTTCATCAGGACAATGCGCGACCCCACACAGCAAGAAACACGTCACAAGAGATCGAAGAACTTGGTTGAGAGAAAATTCCTCATCCGCCTTATTCTCCCGATCTTGCTCCTTCAGACAACCATTTGTTTCGTAGCTTACAGAATTATTTCGAAGAAACAGCTTTTGTAACACAGGAAGAGGTTAACACTGACATTTGTGAGTTCTTCGAATCAAAGCCAAAAGAATTTTACAGTAATGGAATTAGTAAGCTTGTTAATAGATGAAAGGAAGTCATAGATAACCAGGGAAAATACATTGTTGATTGAATCTGTAATTAAATCTAACATTTGGTAACTTGTTTTCTTTATTCAAAATTCGGACAGATCTTATAGCATGACATGATATTATTCAGAACAATACAAAACACTTCTTATATAACAAAACCTGAAGAGAAATTTACAGCAACTAAAAACAAACCCCCTGAAAATGGCTTAAGAAATGGGCAAGAGGGCTTGGAACAATGTACAATATGGATTATTATTTTTGCAATTCCTTATTCCCATCAAACGGGAAAATATGTAATAATTCTGGAAAAACTAAATAAAATATTAATTAAATTTCCCTTTTCTTTTATATTCAACAAAACATGATTGAAAGAATGGTTACTTCCCAAATATACCTGAATATATATATATATATATATATATATATATATATATATATATATATATATATATATATATGGACTCTCCCGTCGTATTCGACGTATGATGGTCAAGCATCTCAGTTCCTAGGAACACTCAGCACAAACACCAGCAGATATGATTTGATTATAGTGATGAAAGCTTTGTGAAGAACCAACCTCTCTTTTGAATATTTGATATGATATATATATATATATATATATATATATATATATATATATATATATAAAAAATAGATATGTTGGTTAATAAAACAAGGAAAAGGAAAAAGGTGCCAATCATTAATCACAGGACAGAAATGAAGCACGGAGATTAATGTTATTACTCCGGAATTTTCGAGCACGCCTGTGTCCTTCATCACCGGTGCGAGAAATAAACAGAAAAATGGGTAAGACTCACCAACGGTGTTTGTTTTTGCTTGTGTGCACTCGTTGTCGATGGTATTATTAGTATAAATCCGATTCCTGCTTTATTTCTCGCTTGCGAAAGTTTTTTGAAAATTATCGGGGTGATCGCATTAGTCTGTTTTGTCTTTATCGGCGTGGATGGTGGGGGAGTGTGATTTTAAATAAGAGGAAGAAGTTTTTAGGATTTGGGGTGGGGAAGACGTCCCTTATGTGATCAGTATTGATAGATGTGACTAGATAGGTAGAGACTGAGGAGGAATAAAAAGAAAATGAAAGGGAAAGAAAAGATAGGAACTGCAAAAAAAGAGATAAAATATTTCGATAAAAACTCTTTTGGAAAACTATAGTCAGAAAATGGTGTGTGGGGGGGGGTAGAAAAAATAAAGAGATAGAAACACGATTGTAGTAATCACAATCCATGAAGGAAAAAGGAGAAACACGATTGTAGTAATAACAGTGCAGGAAGGGAAAAAGGAGAAAGGTATCTGCAAAAATAGATGCTTTGTGTGTTTAAGTGTGACAAGTATAAATAATCCTTAACTATCTTATAAAATTTCGAAATCCTAGGTGTAAAATCAGAAAAATATAGTGGGGGGGGGAGAAATTTCTGTTAAAAGTTTGATTATAAATGTGTGTGGAGGGGGCTACTCATTTGAGTAAACCCAGATCTCTGTTTACACCGTTTATGTAGGAGTTTATTTTCAGCATGTATTTCAACTCTGACTTGCGTCTATTTTTCCGGCTATCGAACCCAGACGCTAAAAACACGTACCTGACGTCGTCGATGCTGTGACCGGGTTGGTTGAAGTGTACGGATAGTGGAAAATTCTTGTTGATGTCCCTAATAATCTTCTTGTGGTTATTGAACCGTAATCGGAACTCAGTTCCAGTTTCTGCCACGTAATTCCCCTTCTCGCAGTTGTGTCAGAAGAGTAGATATACGAGATTGGAGTTGTCGCTACTTAGAGGAGGTGGTCTAAATACTATGTGAGTGCCGGGGTGGTGTAGGTGTTTTGAGTGTTGATGTGTTTGCAGACCAGGCACCGGGGTTTATTGCATATGACATTCCCATGGTGTAGCGGTGTGTTGCAGATTTTTGATGATGTTAAAAGTCTGAAGTGGTTGGGGTGCTGTCGCCTCGCGTGTAGACTGTTATCACTAAATAGACTGCTGATAGTCTTGTCTGATTTCATGTGTTGGAAATCTTTCGTTAATACGCGGGAAAGTTTATTTATGTTGTGATTAAAATAAAAACCATAGAATTCTTTTTTTGAGTTACATAGTTGAGAAGAGTGTTTCTGTTGAGCTTAGAAGATGTGGTAATGGATTCTTTGATTATTTTGGGTGGGTAATCCCTATTTAGAAAGTGATTGTAGAGTTGTTTGATGTGTAAGTCGTAATCTTCGTTCTGAGAACAGATGCTTTTAATGCGTAAGCATTTACTGTAGACTATAGATTTCTTTAGGTTTGTGGGGTGATAACTTTTGAAATTGAGGTAGCAGTGACCATCAGTAGGTTTCGTGTAAAGTGTCATAGAGATGTAGTAGTTTTCTAGACGTACCATTGCGTCCAGAAATGGAATGGAATTGGTAGAATATTCCAGGGTGAACTTGATGATGTGGTAGAAGGTGTCGAGGTGATTTTTAAGATCTAGATTGTTCTCTCCATGGGTCCATCTGAAGAAGATGTTGTCTACGTACCTGTGGTAGTGTAAGGGTGCCAGATGGTATCTACTAAACATATCCTGCTCAAGGGCATCCATGAAGATGTTAGCATAGGTGGGGGCCATTTTCGTTGCCATTGCAGTGCCTCTAACTTGAAGAAAATGGTGCTCGTTGAACTAGAAGTTGTTATGTGCAAGTATGAAATGTAAAAAGTTAGAAATATCTTGAATCTGGAGCTCGGGGAAATCTCCGCTGCTCAAAAAATTCTTGCAGGCTAGTATGCCCTCATCGTGTAGAATGTTAGAATATAAGGACGAAACATCCAAAGTCACAAGGAGTGCATTGTCTGGTAAATATCCTATGTTACTAAGGATTCTCTGGAAATGTGTAGTGTCTTTAATAATTTGAGTCTATCGTCAATGTAACCAGAGATGTGTTATGTCAGGGTTCCTGTACCAGAAACAGTACATGGTGGGTGGAGCGTCCACCAAATACATACATACAACATACATACATACAGACAGACATATATAGATAGATAGATAGATAGATAGATAGATAGATAGATAGATAGATAGATAGATATTTGATGGACTATCCCGTCGTATTCGACTTATGAGGGTCAAGGTCCTAGGAACCGACAGCCCAGACACTAGCACATATGATTTGATTATAGTGGTAAAGGCTTTGTGCAGAACCAACCACACTTTATGAAGGGCCGAATACAGAGACCTGGTGCACAAGGTCCTAAAAACGACCCTCCACTGGTGTTGAATTCAGAGTTGTCCTTCTCTTAGACCAGTTGCTATCCAAGGTTCTAAAAGCCAATCTGTCCTGCTATTTACCCATAGCTGGAGGGAATAGGATTAATATATAAGTGAATGCAATGTATGTATTCGATTGAATTCGAACCCGGCTCTGCCATTCCTCAATCCGTGCCGCTATCCACTATTCCATTAATGCATGCATGCATGCATGCATGCATGCATTGATTGATTCATTGATTCATTGATTCATTCATTCATTCATTCATTCATATATATATATATATATATATATATATATATATATATATATATATAGAGAGAGAGAGAGAGAGAGACACACACATATATATATATATATATATATATATATATATGTGTGTGTGTGTGTGTGTGTCTCTGTGTGTGTGTCTCTGTGTGTGAGTGGGTGTGGGTGTAGTTGTGTGTGAGTTTTCACATTCTATTTTTGTAGATATTGATGTATGCTTGGACTTAGAACTATATTTCATTCATCGAATAAAATAAAAATGAAATAAATTACAAATTGAAAATAAAAAATCCAGCTATTTTTCTTTCTATTTTTCCTTTATTTTGTTGTTTAAGTATTCATATATCAAACGACTGGAACCATCGTATTTTAAACATGAAAGCCACTCTGAATAATAAAACGTCAAATAAATTCATGGGAGCATTGTGAGCTATTTGTCGGTTATTTTGCCATCGGATCAAATGGCTAAATAATTCTTAATACATCGGCTTTCATTTGTCATTTTACCCAATGGACGTAAAATTAGAGCAATATTTTTTTCTTTGTCATTATTTCACGGAAAAAATTCGGCGGGAGAACCGGTTGTGTACACATAGATTAATTTCAGATCGAGAAGCGGGCCACATCATAATATAAATGTTAGAAAAATGATTTTGTGATTCATTACTAGTGAATTTATGACGTCATTCCCTAAACTAAACGGTCTTTCAAGAATAATTACTTCATTAGTATACACTATTGCTATCAGGAACAGCAGGCAATAGCGTTTTTGATTGCTTGCGTTAGACTGTCCAACATAGAACCATTTTCTCATCGGAAACATTTTTATAATCAGTTCATCCCAAGCAAGGGGAGAACGCCACAAAAATGCAAGAGGCTATTAGGAGTGAAAGAGAATGGAAAGTTTTTAAAAGGTAATGGGAGGTGTGCGAATCGGTCGATAAGGGAATTTATCTAGTCCTTCACAATCAAATGTTTTCCTTAAATAATACATAAGTGCTGCAAAATGCAAAATAAAATACAAATATTATTCATTATTGATTTGATTTGATTGAGTAACGACATGTCAACACCTTATGGGTCATTTAATACCCAAATTTCTTTTTCTTGGGAACCTGGATGTAACAAAAATATATGTTATTCTGCTTTCACCATTAAATAACTCAGTTCCCGTGCATGTACATGTTTGTATGGACATAATTACCAGTTCCCGTGCATATACATGTTTGTATGGACATAATTACTAGATGCGAAGATATGTGTGTCTTATGTTGTAGTTATTGTTGATGTTATATTTTTGGAATACAGTTTGATTTAAGAAACGGTAGGATATTATATGGATTAATGTCATGAAAACGTTTATGTTGGTTGTTTGAGTGTATTTTAAACGGATTTGACTGAAGTGACTATAATTTGTTAGTATGTAAGTATTGTTGGTAATTTTATTCTAAATAAATATTGTTGATATTTTTTTTATATGTAAAAATGTATTGCTGATATTTTTACTATGTAAATGTATCATTATATTTTCATAATGTTTTGTTTGTGGATTCACCATTTACTCGTAGCTGAGACCCTAACAAGGAGGACCTGGGAACAACAGCAATTAAAAAGTGATTCCACACTATTGAAAACCTGAAATCTCCCTTTCTCCCGGATGTAGTTTATAGTCAGACCCAAGGCTAAGTTCTCTTGAGACCGTTTCGGTTTTTGGTTTATGATTATATAGACTGAAGAGATTAGCAGTAGATCTTAGATAAATTCAAAAATAAGCAAAGCCTGCTGACAACAAATGTCGTATTTATGCTCGTCTGCCAGATTAAGCTAAGTTTGTTAAATACCGAAAATAAGATAGAAACAAGAACAAAAGAAAATAAATGAGTAAATATTAACTGAAATAAGTACTTATATAAGCAACGCCCTAACTATTAATTTACTCGGAAAAATATAGAAAAGAAAAAATTGATTGACGACTTCAGTAATAATAGTTTAAACGAATGCTTAGTTTAACGTACTATCCCAACGATTTTACAAAACTACCAATCTCCCGATCAAAAGTCTTTCTGCCGGATGTTGTTTTCTTCATTATTAACAACCCATTTTGGAGCGTATGTTATAAATAAAATTCTCCAATGTTTCCATTTGATGCTCACTATTAATAATGCGCCTAATTTATTACAACAAATCTATACTTTCACAGCCTAATTCACTCCTTTGTTTTGCTTTAATGCAGTGCGGTTAGCGATTTTCAGCTTCTCGTTTTATTTTGACGTACAACTGACATAAGCACCATTTATGTGTGGAGACCCTTCAAGACGTGGGCGATCATGTCTTTCGACAATTTTCTGTCCCTCGTAGCTCTAAGAATCCATTGACGCTTTACTATTCACGTATCTCTTCTGCCATCCATTCACACAAGTATATTAAGTCAATTCTTGTTTCCTTTTTAAGCTCCCTCCCTCACTATAATCCAAACCTGTTCGATTCTAGTGTTAAGCCTTATCTATCACACATACCCTCATAAACTGCGCCACTTATGTCTTACTAATAACGCTCAGACAAGAAACGTTTCCAGTCAGCCTCTACCTCGAGTGGCTCTAGGTTTTGTATAGGGTGACCTTTACAAAAAAAAATTAAAAGAAAAAAAAAAGATAGATCCTAACAAAATGAAAGATAGATGGATCTGAACAAAATCCGATGGACAGATATAAAGAAACTGAGATAGATAGATAGAGAGATAGATAGATATGTGGGAAACTATTATATATATATATATATATATATATATATATATATATATATATATATAGAGAGAGAGAGAGATAGATAGATAGATAGATAGATAGATAGATAGATAGATAGATAGATAGATCCTAAGAAAATGATAGATGTGAATTAAATCAAATAGATATGACGAAGCTGGAATAGATAGATAGATAGATAGATAGATAGATAGATAGATAGATCTTAACAAAATGAGATATATATAGATCTGAAATAAATCAGGTAGGTAGATATGAAGAAACTGATATATATATATATATATATATATATATATATATATAGAGAGAGAGAGAGAGAGAAAGAGAGAGAGAGAAAGAGAGAGAGAGAGAAGGTAAGAGAGAGATAGTTAGAAAGAAAACGACAGGGAAGTACGTAATAGTGAATCAGTTGAATTTTCCCCATAATTGCCGATGGTATTGAACCGCAAGAGATGAGGTATTGTGAAGCTTAAGTTTACTTATATGAAATCGATAAATCGAACAATCAACATTTTTCAAAAAAGATCTTGGAAGAATTAGTAGAAGTGAATTGATTCTACAAGGAATTCGAAGCTGGGCCCAGAAACGCTGTTCATTCAGCAAGTAACAGTATTTAAGCAAAGAGACACGATCAAGAAACGCATTTTATGCAGGATATAATCTCAATAGTTTCGTCTGGTTGTTCACGATGTAGAACGTTGGTTCAGCGATTATAAGGTTCACTGGGCACAAGGGTCATGTATTTTATGCCTTCATGCAGAACAAAGGATCGTTTTATCTAATGTATGGCAATATATTTTTGTTTCTCCAGCGCAGATTTCCATTTCGTAGTTGAGATATATGTCAATCCAAAAAGGTCATAAATAATAAAATCATTATTATTATTATTATTATTATTATTATTATTATTATTATTATTCGTTGCCTTTCATCATTTGTTCCTTTAGAGTAACGCCTTTGTCTTTTATCTTTCTTTTCTTCTTTGTATAAATATTACTAACACGTCTGAAACAACTATTCATAACAATTTTACTCTCATAACAAGAATTCACCTTTAGAAGTTATTACTTAAATCCCCTCGAAGAAATATAATGCTTACAACCTTCGCATGAAGATTCATTATAGAAAAATATTTGGTAAGGTTTAAGATAGATAAATAGATAGAAATGGACAAGCTCAGATAGATAGATAGATAGATAGATAGATAGATAGATAGATAGATAGATAGATAGATATGAGCAGACTAAAGCCTCCTTTCTTTCTATGTGCCATGTCCTTTCAGGACATAGGCGATCATGACTCTCCACCTCTCTCCTTCCCTTGCAGCTCTCAACAAGTTCCTACCGTCTGCTTCTTCCCCCAGACCACATTCTTGCTTAAGCCCACCAGATATGTCGCGCAATATTTTCCCTTGTCTCTCTTTCTCTCTATTCGACTCGTGATTACCAGATTCTCCAGGCCCTCCTCCCTCATTATGTGTCCCAGAGACATATTAAGCGTAAGCCTCCTCCTTGTTTGAAAACTCTCTAAGACCTCATCGTTGTTCACACACTCGGCCCATGATATCTATAGCATCCTTCTGTAGAACCACATATCTGTTGCCTCGTGTCTCTTCTTCATCTTTGAGGAAATCGCCTAACATTCTCTGCCGTAAAGAAGAACAGATGTCATGTAACAGCTCAATATCCTTTTCTTTGTTACCAAAGAAATCCTCCTGTCTCGCAATACTCTGTCCAGCTCTTCAAATGTGTCCTTGGCCATCCTAATACGTCTACGGATCTTAGTGTCGCACTTGCTGTCCTCTGTCAAAACGCTTCCCAGATGTTTAAACTTCCGCGTCTCCTTGATTATCCGCTGCTATGATTTCAGCAGCTTATAGCTTTTACGGTGTGTAACTGCCAGTCTCATAACAGGAGTTATTGGTCATGTCTATAGAGAATAATAGAAAATAATGACGGTGATCTGATTTATTCGTAAGTTTCTGCTTGCTTTATAGGTCAGTATTCGCGTCTTGGCTAAAAATCCCCAATCATCCAGTCATATTGATCGAATCGATATCTTCAATCTTATCTGACATTTAAACCTACTGAAATTACTGCTATAATTACATTACAGATTCATTAAAACGATAATTGTTTAATGTACGAACATTTTTTTAATTCTGTCAAACAATATATTTATGAAATTTATCAGTTCTCAGAAATTAATTTTGAAAAACCATAACGTTGCTTGGAGACAGATGAAATGATAGAAAACACACACACATATTTATATAAACTATCAATTACCATATATATCATACTTATTATAAAACCCAGGTTGTGTATGTGTGTGTGTCTGTTCGTTTATAAATTGGATCGGATTTCCTACATATTTCAAACGATTTCAACAAAACTTCACAGGGCTACATAAAATTACCTTGCGGTAGTTCTGACAGTGCCAACAATTGGAAAAACACAATTGTTTTTGCACAAAATTAATTTGAAAACACAATTCCAGGATTCATTTAAATTCGTTTTGTTACTGCATACCTATTTTTGCACCCGCTGTATACATGAATACAGAATGCGGCAGAAATACCTCCCACATATACCTCGCTATTTATATTAGTCTTATCATTGTGTGGGAGCTATTTCTGCCGCACCCTGCATATATTAAATCATTTTTTTCTTTTTATGTTGCCTAATTCTCGATAACCGTTATATATGACGTGACCATAGACTTTTTCAAACTTTCCAAAGAAGAACAGGAAGTAGACAAAGAAATTCTGCCTCATACACAGACACACCATATTGGCTCTTGAACATAACTGAGATGGTCCAAAGTGTTTGAGCAAAACCAAAGCAAACATGAACTAATTTATCCAAAATATCGATCATAATACGCTACACCTTGTCCGAAAATTGAGAAAATACAATAAAAATAAAAACAGGATCCGGTTCTTTTTTTAATGAAACCTGTTTGTATATATATATATATATATATATATATATATATATATATATATAATATCTGTGTGTGTATGTATGTGTGTGTATGTATGTGTGTGTGTTGTTTAAGATTTGCTATATATATGGGCGAAGAGTGCTCAGTATCAGAGTGTCTGAATATATAAAGAGCGGATGTAGACATCAACTGCATAATGACTGCCAGGTATTTTGCTTCAAAGAATCCCCAGAACATATGTAGCTGGTAGTCATCATGCAGTGTTCATTTCTATGACTACACCGTCTGTATCTGTAAAGACATATAGACAATAGGTCTATTATAAGACGGATAGTGAAAAGATTGCAAATCCTACTAAAGCAAAAGTTTTTCCCAAAAGAAATCAAAAATATGTTCTATTTTTCCAGAAACAACATAAGGCCACGGAAAAGTATAATAGCAAAACCTTCATCTTCAGCTTTAGTCACTTCATCTCGGTTTCGTCAAATTCTCATCGCCGTAAAGTTTTTTTTTCCCCTTTTGCCTTTTCTATAAATAAATTCATAGTAATTGTTCCGATATGTTTTTCGCTATGTTTCCTAGACTCTTTGAATTTAAGCACAGTATTAGACTGGCGACGAGATCTTGCCAATTACATGTTAATATGGCGAGATGTAACCGTGAATTATATACTAACTTTTATCGCTTTTCTAGCTCCATGATTTCCCGCCAACTTTAACCTGAAAAATTTAAATGCAATGTCATTCGCTGTCTACTGTCCTCCTGATTACTCCTTAATAAAATCGATATCTGCTAATTTTATTTTCGTACAGAAACTACGTGTATGCTTTGAATCTGGCGATTTTTTTTTTTTATTAATATAATGTATGACACGCCTCTGTTCTCGTGTTCTTTTCAAATCATGTGTTAATTTCCTGGGTCAGATCACATGGCAGTCAGCCTAGAATTCATTACTCTTTTAAAAACAACCGTACGTTGAAGGCGTTAAGACTATCATAAACCAAAACCTCGGAGCAGTTTCAAATCGTCATATGAAATTCCGTCAGCCTGCCTGCAATAAAAAATCAGCAGATAATTATAGATGTTCTGTCAACGTAAGTGTAAGCCTCTCTCGAGACTTGAAAGCCATATAGAGGCCAGGTCCGTGCCAGCTGAACAATCATATTAAGTATATTGCTGGCAACACTTCTGGGCACAACATGACAGATTAAAAAGTTTACTGCTGCCGTGTAAGGATCACAACGAAAACTGATCGACATGATATATCTACAATATTTAACCAAATCTTTTTGAATGAAAATATGCTGCCTAAATATAAACAATCTAAACTCTATGATCCATCAGCTCAACACAACACCAACACTTTGAAATTCAAACATAACCTTGTTAGAAGGCAAATTGAGATAGCTGAAGATAAAAAAATTCTCAATAAAAAGCACAAGAAATCCACAACAAACTACAATCAATCACTACTCCTGAACAACTCATAGACTTAGAGAAATTTACTAACAGGTCTGAAATACAACACCATTTGAACATCCAAAAAAACTTAATACACTGTACAATGGAACTATACATCTTCAAAATAATAATGACAAGTTTATAAATATCTCTATGAACTAACAAAAACGAATTAAAATATGTCTATATTATTTAACCAGACATGTTTGAACACACACACACACACACACACACATATATATATATATATATATATATATATATATATGATGAAAAAGATAGTTTTAAGGTATGTTAGCGCTCAATGCCAGAGATAGAAAGTATGTTAAATTAAAAGTGGACACTAATATCAACACCAAGCTTTTGTTATTCAAGACAACCTTCAGGCCATGAAGACTGCATTCACCCATGAAACAGATTATCACCGCTCGGTATTGACATCAGTGACCATTTATATATATATTTATATATTGTGCTTCTTTTAATGCCGTATCCAAACGAAAGCTGATAATGTAGCAGAGGTCGTATTCATTCGGACGTACAAGTTCATAGTAGGAGATTCAGTGAGAATTTGGATTGACAAACAGTCATCAGTCGCATGTATACATACTTTAAGGATAGGGCGATCCGGTTTGAATTCTGACTTCCTTCTGCTAGACTGGTTGCCACCCAACGGTATAGGAACTATTTTGTCCTGCTATTTTACCCGTAGCTCTTGTGTAGAAAAAAATGGATTCATATATTTTCCAAGGTTATTATCGCGGTAGCGTAATGACTAGCGGTTTGGATTGATGAATTGGGAGCCGACTTCGAATTACACCCAATTCCATTATATATATATATATATATATATATATATATATATATATATATATATATATATATGCCTGCACTTACATTTTAAAAATATATCAGTATCGATCTAACGATCATTTTTTTTCTTATTTTCGAGTGAAAACGATTCTTTGAACAACGACATACAGGTTACGTATCAAAATATGACTCAAATATATTTTGGGCATAAAATAGTAAATCAGATATGTCATCATTAATTTTATTTCTTGATAAAGAATGAGGTTATTTGTTCCGAAATTAAGTTAAACTGACGGGTGACTGACTAGCAGTAAAACACTTCGGTAGCGATAAACAATTAAAATTGTGCATATTTGTTTACCGATCTCATATATCAGGTGGGGAGCTGAAAAGTTGGCGGCACGACTTACACAAAATCTGATCTGTTAACCAAATGTTAGCATTTTCTTTTTCTTCTGGAAGGCATCTTAGTCAATCCGAGAACTTTTCAGTATCTGATGCAATCGAAACTGAAATAAAATCATTAGAAAATGTTGTTTCTTTTTCTATTGCCAAAATTTTCTTTTGTCGCGAGAACAAATAAAATGTTGGTAGATTTTATTAATCCTACCTGCGATATCAACAACTGCATAACAATAGGTCTGTACAGTAACAGGTTTATCTGAACATACATTCATTAACTCTCGTGCAGTTATAGCTAATTTAATTCTGCTTACTCAAACAAACAATATTTGTCACAACCACACATTTTATAAGGAATTTCTTCATAGTAATAGTTTTTAGCATTTTCTTCTCTAACGCTCCTTTTCAGATATTTGAGTTTGGTACACCTTATATTAAAATTGGATTGGTGCAGATGTCATGTTATTTATTTTCTTTTGTTAATGTTCACCTAATATGAGACTCAAGAGGGTTACTGAATAAGGTGTGTGTGCTATATTAATCATTTCACCCCAAGCAATGCAATAAAGCCACTAGGACGCAAGGAGTTGTTGAATGTTAGAAAAGATGAGAAAACTACTA